CCAGCCGCAGCGAGACTCCATGTCCCGGCAGGCACCGCGCTCCAGAACAGGGGCAGGACGACCACACTTCCGTCGCGAGGCACTCTGGGAGGTGTAGTCTTCATGGACCACAGGCGTCCGGAACGGGATTTCTGAATGTCGCGATAGCTGGGCGCTGCGCTGTTTGGCCGGGTGGTTGCTGCGATACCGTCTCCGTTGTCTGCGGAGGCTTAATGGCGGTTCGGGAGTCTGGTGAGAGAAGGGGCTGCTGCCGCCCGGGAACCGGGGTCTGCGGCGTTTCCCAGTTCTATAGCAGGGGCCGTTAGTGCCGCGACATCCGCTCCTCCCTGGCTCCAGAGGCCCTCAGCCTGTCTGAGGGCGGGTTTTTATCGCTCCGGGGGAACAGGGGGGCTTCCTGCCTGTTTGGGTCATGGCCAACGGTACCACTATCTCACAGGCCCCTCCTGGCAGCTTCAGCGATCGGAAAGCTGTCCCTGTATGCTAGGGCTGAGGAGGAGCTCCTCAAGAGGCTGCTGAAGGCTACCAGGATTTATCAGGGGCCGCACACTCTGGGTTTGCATTGGTGACTGGTGATGCCTGAAGGAGTCTCCGCATAACCTAAATTGATATTTACAACAGCTGTTCACTTCCAGTTTGTTTCATGAGAGACTTGAATCCTGTGGGCAGATGTTGAAACAATAAATGCCACAAGAATTAGCAGGAGTTAGCTGTTTGACAATATAAACTGAGGACTGGGTAAGCACTGAAGAGGGACTGCTGTCTCAATTTACTGATGGACTTTCTGTGGTCTTTTCTGAGCACTGTCTCTGTCTTGTACCATGCTTTTCCAGTAAGAAAGTGCTTTGCAGTTTCTAAAGAAAACTAAACTCCTTTTAATAGGGGGAAGAATTAAGCTTTAAAGAGTTGATCTGTGGTAGTTTTTAAGAACTTGTGCAAATTCAAGGACTATTTCCTATCCTTCTTTCCAGGGAGAAGTTCAAAAGGGAACAAATATGGCCAGCAGTCACAGACCTCCGATAGCTCGTCCTTCTTCAAGAGCAGGAATAGGGCTGACCGCAAGGCCTACCTCTTCATCAAGGACTCCATCAGCAACCAGAATAGGAACAGGGGTACATTAAAAAATTTGAACATTGACTTTGATGTATTTAGATTTTTATCCATTATTTGGTAATTTTTTTTTAGTACCATGACTGGAGTGATAGTTTCTCAGGAAGAATTTTAAGATTTTAATTTTGTAGAGGGTTTTATTTTCTAATTTTGACTGAAAGGGGTCAAGGAGGTCTTGCATCAATAGTTCACCTGGAAGACCTTAATAGCATTAATGTTGCAGACAGAGGGAACAATGAAAGCTGCTCAAAGGTAATCTCTTACCCTTCTGCAGCGGACATTTGACTGAAGGTTTGTTTACCTGAAGAGATGTAAATGCTGAAAGATTCTTATAGGAACAGTATAGAGACTAACTTAAGTTTTTAATTGCTTTGGCAGTTGCATAAGGATAATAAATTCATAACTCAGAGTTGGGAGGTTTGTGTTTTGCTTTTTTATAGATGCCTCCTAGTACATCAAGACCCAGTTCTCGTGGTGGTTCATCGACTACTGGAGGAGTCTTATCATCTCAGATTAAAGTTGCAGACCGTCCAGTGACTCAACAGGGATTAAGTGGAATGAAAACTGCAATGAAAGGTATTTTTCACTGAAAATAGCTATCAAGGTGTCTGCAAACATTTTAAGGAAATATTTAGGTTTTTAAAGGAAAACTTTTCATCGCTGTATAAATTGCAGAGTGAATAGCTATGATTAATAGGAGTAGGAGAAAGGAAAGGAAGATTAAAGCATTCCTCTTTTATTTGCTTTGCTCTTGGCAGTCAGAGACTGAAAAAAGTAATATTTATCTTCACAACATTCTGAAATGAATTTCTTCCTTCGTTTGTTTTAATGAGGTAAAATCTATTTAAGAACACTGAGAAGATGGGAGTTTTCTACCTGTGAATTCTGCAGAGTGTTTTCATATTTTACAGTTCATCAAAATTAGTTGTTTTCTAACAAAATTTCATCTTATTCTCCATTGTCAGGTCCTCAGAGACAGATAATGGATAAAACATATTACCTTGGACTGCTGAGGTATGTCTTAACAACACATTCAAACTGTAGAAGGTTTAATGCTCTGTTTCCTTTCTGACATGAAGTTTGTTGTGCTTAACAATAGTGTGGAATAAGTGGTGTTCACATAAAATGAAATATGTCCTGTTATGAGAGTTACGGTTGTTTTGCATATACTTTGTAGGAGGAAAGTAATTTTATGCTTATGTCTAAGTACAAGTAGATTCCTTTGACATTTTGTTATTAGGCTTGCTAAGTTAAATGCACTCCCACAGCATTAGTAAAAGGAGGGCCAGTGGTTTTGAGCTTCCACCTGTAACACTTGATGGGTCTGATAGCTCCAAAGGAGAGTCAGTGGTTTTGAGCTTCCACCCATAACGCTTGATAGGTCTGATAGCTCCATTTGTAAGAAGTAGCATCACAAACTAAGCACTTTTTAGTGTACGTTTCAGGTGGTTTTCTTGGATTATATATGGAGCTAACACTGACACAGGCAAGCCCTTTTGGTAACTGTATTGTGTACGCTACTTTGTCAGTTGATCATATCGCAGTATTGAATAATCAGTCCAAAAAGATGTCATCTTAAATATGGATGATATCCACATTCTGCGAAATGATACTATGATCTTTTTTCCAGTCCATTTGAGAATAATTCACATCTGTTTCATCAGAGGGGGCAAAAAGCTAATTGAAACATTTTCTTTCATATCTATATTTTCTAACACCTACATATGATTTTATCTGATAGAACCACTCTGCTTTTTTCCTCACTCATCGAGCTCTTCTTTGAAATACTGATTTGAAACACGGTGCAGTGTGATAAAGAGA